CGGTTCGGCGTGGTCGGACGCCACCACCACCACCACCACCACCACCAAGAAGGCTCAGGAGGACCCATCACAGGTCCTGGCACCACAAACGGGAACGCGAGGAACCTCAAGAAGAACCACCACAGTTTAAGAGTGGTTTTTTGCCTTTCACTGGCATGTCTTTTTTCATTCTTTCTGGAGGATAAAGAAACCCGAAAGTAGTTTTTCTCTTATTTTTCAGTTGCCTCTAATTTCGTGCTCGTCAGCGCTGGTCCTTGGCGCTGTCGGAGGCACCAGGGAGCTGCTCATCGCCAGGTGAGTGGCGAAGGGCTGACCAGGGTCAAAGCCATCCTCTTCTCCAAAGCCCTTACAGTTAAAGGGACATTAAGAAAAAGCCACACACAGCAGTATAAACAGCTCTCCATTGCTGGATTCCTCTCTGATGGTGTAATTTCACTCCTTCTTGAGTTACCAGATTGTTTCCCAGATGAGGCAGGACTTGAATTTCTAATGTAAAAACTGTCAGAAAAACTCTCAAGCCACTTTCGGGTTATCTCTATCCACCACTAAAGTGGCGGGGAGGCAGAAAGGGCAAACTCCCTTTTTTCTCCTTTGCAAATTGCCTTTAGAGGACACCTGTGGTGGTTTTATCATGCAAAAGCGTGTTTCAGATCCATCACCACTAATTCATCCGGCCCACTACCACCGTGGGCTGGGTCTGAACCGGTAAGTTAAAGATAAAAGACTTTCTCCCGTCTGGTTTCGACAACTAACCAAGCTACAGCGCGAAGGGAGAGGCCCCAGAAGGGGGGTGACCTACCGCACCACTCCCCAGCCCTTTCTGGCTAATTCTGTGTGCGCCCACGGGATGCTTTTCTGCCACGAGAACCCTCCTCCTTCCCACTGGGAACGGTGAAAGATGGGCATTGTGGCTACGGCAAATACCCAGCGAATGTCTGGGGAGGGCGGAAACCCGATCGGGAGCCCCCCGACAGGCTTTTCCGATGGGGAAGATACGGATCTTATTCAGGGCCTTCGGAGGCATTGTCACCATGGGGCTCAGACCTTCTCCCTTACCGCCACCTCCTGCTCTCCAACCACCTGTTTGTCCGTCCATCTGCTGTCCCTTATTATAACTTAAAGCGCAGGCTCTTTGAGGGTAGAGATTGTATTTTTAGTACATCTGGATAGTGTCCATCACGATAGGGTCCTATTTCCTGGCTGAGGCCTCTCAGCACAGAAGTCATACCAATAAAACAGGAGATAACGCTGTTCTCGCTGAAGGTAATGATGTTTTCCCACTGTCTGCAGCAGGGGCAGAATTGGGTCTTAACAAGAAAAAACTGAACCTCCTTTTGGATGGTTGTGGCGACGGGCAGGCGGGGAACCCTCCTTGTGCAGAAACAGGAGCTACAGGACAAGGGCAGGAGGTGACCGGGGGCTTGGTCCGATGCATTGCAACGGCGTGTACGGAGCAGTGCTGCTCGAGATGGGAAGTGAAAATACATCCATCCTTACCTGAATTACTGTACAGCCTGCGGTTGTCCATCTAACCTGCAACACAGGGGAAAAGGCACGTTTAGCAAGCAGGTAATTTTATTTCCTGTAAAATGAAAAATCTACCCTCCCCATCTCTTGCTGCTCTAACGGGTAACTCTTCTCAGGACTGCAAACAGCTTTACAGGCACTGGGGTAAGTGGCAAGTCCTCTGAAACACGAGGCAGGTAGAAAAGTGCTTCTGGTCTTACCAAACCCCAGGCTGCTCAGGACCTCGGCCCATCAGGGTCTCAGTACCTCCAGGGCTGGAGACCCCACAACCTCTCTGGGCAACCTCTGCCGGTGTTTGACCAGCCTCAAGGTAAAAAAGTACTTTTTCTGTTCCGACAGAATTTCCTGTATTTCGATGTGTGCCCGTCACCCCTTGCATTGTCGCTGGGCGCCACTGAGCAGACCCCGGCTCAGTTTTCTTTAGCCATCTCCATCAGTTATTGACATGCAGTGATTCGATCCCAGCGCTTCGATGCCTCCATCACTGCCATGGTCCCTCCCTGGGCTCTCTCCAGTCTGTCCCTGTCCCTCTTGGACTGGGGAGGCCAGCACTGGACCCAGTGGCCTCACCAGTGCTGAGCAGAGGGGAAGGACCCCCTCCCTCCCTCCACTTGGCGATGCTTTGCCAGCCCAGGAAACCGTTCGCCTTTGTGGCACAAGGGCACGTTGCTGCCTCATGGTCAACTCGGTGTCCAGCAGGACGCCGGGTTCCCCCCTGCAAAGCTGCGTGCAGGTGGTCTCCAGTCTGTCCCAGTGCCCGGGGCTGTTCCCAGGACTTTGCAGTTCTCCTTGCTGAAACGCCCGAGGTTCCTGCCGGTCCGTTTCGCCAGGCCGGTCAGGTCCCTCCGGATGGCAGCCCAACCCTCTGGTCCACAGCCGCTCCTCCCAGCCCGGAGCCATCTGCAGCCCTGCCGGGGATGGACTCGGTCCGGTCCTGTCCGCCGGGAACAGACGGCTGCGCAGACTACAGCTTTGATCAGGATGGGTGGCTGTATTTCAGATCAGATATTTTTGTCTAACAAATTTTATGGGCCTGCAAACCATGCACTTTCTTCCAGCAGTCTGACAGAGCAGCTCACAGCTCTGTAGTCCCCTTCCTAGCGGTTCGGGGGTTATAAACTCCCAATAGCCAACGCACGAAGGGACCAGCTCATGGAGAATCTCGTTTCAGGTGATATTGTCGTGGGTTCCCCTCCTGGTCACCACCAAGAGCATCCTGTCTTGGAGAGAGGCAGCAGGACCGCGGCAAACGGTGGCTGCTGGACAGCCCTAGCCAAGAGGGTGTCCGACCCGGAATAACGTCCGGCACACGTGCAACGTTCGGGTACGTCACGCCAGGGCTCAAGAAGAGGTAACACAAAGAGTGCAGGAGGCTGGCTGAGCTGCAGTGGGGTGACGTCTATGTGACTGGATGGACGTGCCTTTGCCAGCTCCCGACTGTGCTCTGCTGTGCCTGGAAACCTTGTAGACATCTTCTCTGGAGATGCAGCTTAATTTGTAATCCTAACCACAAAAGACGCAGCCAACTTGGAGTCCTCCTGAATGATTTCATCCTGCTAAAGCCGTACCACGCCGCTGCTATATCAAGTGTATGAATGTAAGCCTCTCCAGCAGGGAAGCGAGTTCTGAGGTTGATTAATTGGGACACAGAGAAATATGAGTAACTTTGTGAAGAAACTTGTGAGGAAGCCCAAGGGCGATGCTGTCCCTAGGAGACACACTGCAGCCGAGTCCCCGCCAGGACCAGCGTCTCCCTTGTCTACGCCGGCGCAGAAGCTGGGGAATACACGAGCTGGAAGTGATTCTTCTTCTTCTTCACTGAGGATGGGAGAAAGCTGCCGCTGCCCCTGGGGAGAGCTTAGAACTTTGTGAAGAAACTTGTGAGGAAGCCCAAGGGCGATGCTGTCCCTAGGAGACACACTGCAGCCGAGTCCCCGCCAGGACCAGCGTCTCCCTTGTCTACGCCGGCGCAGAAGCTGGGGAATACACGAGCTGGAAGTGATTCTTCTTCTTCTTCACTGAGGATGGGAGAAAGCTGCCGCTGCCCCTGGGGAGAGCTTAGCCGAGACGGGGATGCCCGCGGAGTCACTGCGCAAAGAACGAAGCTGGGGCAGACCGAGTCCGGTGTGGCACAGGGTGGTGCCGGCAGCCCCGTCGGACCCCACGCGCCTGCAGCATCCCAGTCACCGGTCCCTGTAGGTGACACGGGGCAGAGAGCAAGCGCTTTTCTAACACCCGTCCTTGTCGTAGCCCGCACAAAACCCCGCGCCCGCTGCCCATCGCCACGCGTCCTTTGGTGGTTGGAGGGGCTCCCGCAGTGTACGCGCTCCGCAGGATGACCGCACCGTATGTATTGATTGTTCCGTGATTTTTCTGCCAGAGTTTTATCTCACTAACTTTGTGACATTAAGAAATCACTTACTCCCTGGCAGAGATAATATTTACATTCCACACGAAGCCTTTTGGACCAAGTTCTGCTTTTGGTTACACGTCTCAGTCTCAGTCCCCGTCCCGCCCCCCCGACTTCAATGCTGCTGCAATGAGTAACAACAGAGCTGAATTTGTCTTACTACATCTCTGCTACCATACATCATATTTCAGCTCTTCAAAAACTCCCCTTTCCCTATTTCCCATGCAAGATACCATGCACATTTGGCAAAAAGCAGAAGGGTCATCTGCTAAGCATCTAAAATATTTAACTGAAGAGGAATGTTCTAGGGCAAAGAGGGTCTTGTGATTTACAGCCAATGTGATGCTGCTTTGAAAACTCCTGTTTTAGCTAAAATCAAACTTACTGCACTTCTTCCTACAAACGTACAACGTCTGGTAGCGATGCACTTCTTCATACGAACTTACAATGTCTAATACCGATAAACAAACCATCAGGAAGGGGAGTATTTCCAACCCCCTGAATGCTTTGCGGAACTTGCTGGACAGGAAAGCTGAGGGAAATGAGCTCTTTTGGGGAGAGACGTGAGCCCCGCCACTTCAGCTTAGCCAGAAGGAAAACGTGCGTGTAACAAAAAAGGGATAAAACGTTCCAGTTTGTTGATGCTGAAATCAGGTTTGGCTCAAGTGAGACAAAGGCTTGGGCTAATTCAAACCTGTCCAAGTCTGTTTTTCATGCTTTAGTTTAAACTAAAGAAAGCAAAAGTCAAGAGACCCCTGAGCAAGGTCTCTTCCCAAGGAGGGTCTGGAGGCACTTTTGTGGTCACTTGTGGCGTGTGACATGTGGAACAGCTCTCCTGCAGACCCCTCCAACTCAACCGTACGCTGCACGGTCGCTTGCAAGTCTCGGGGCTGCGCTCCACGCCGGCGATGATCACTTCCAGCCCTTGGAATAACTCTGCCAGCACGTCTCGTGGATCCGTTCGCACCAAAGGCAGATGTGGTCTGGGGCGGATCAGTATCTAGACCTGCGATCCGGGGATAGCAGAGATGAAAGAGACCTCCTGTGAAACCGCGTTCAGCCCGTGGCACTGCCCACAGGGGATTACCATCAGCAGAGCAATGCTGAACATTCGTCCGGCCAAGGTCACCGGAGGCAGTGGCTCAGCAGATGACGGTCCCACCGCACAGGACCTTCACCGGGAACCAGCCCGTGCTTTGTGGTGTTTTTTTCTAATATATTCATCTGAACTGGATTTCTCACAGCACTTGGAGCAACTCCTCCTCCTCTTACACATTTCTGTGCATGACCTTTGCTGAAAGAAAAACATTCTTGAAGGCTGAATACACACGCTGAAGAAACCCCGGCCATGACGTCATCTCAAGCCCCAGCAGATGTTGGTGAGCGTGACCCGGCAGCGTGGCGATGACCACAGCGGGCAGATAAACCAGTGCCGGGTCTGCAGGTGGCCTCACGGCAGGAGCAGCTCCCCCCTCGGAGCCCTCTCCTGGGGCTCCAAACTGACGGCAAACTGAGCTCCTGCAGAGGAGCAAGTCAGAAAACGCGTTACAGCTCAGAGACGACACTCTGTCCCCTTACCTCGGTCCTTTCCGTTCTGCATTTTTTCTGCTTCTTCTTCGTCTTCTTCCTCTGCTTCAAAAAAAAAAAAGGCAAAAAAAAAAAAAAGCGGACATGAGACAAGTAGGTGAGAGAAGAGATGCTTGGGGAACTCTTCCGTGGCAAGGAAGAATGGGCTTTTCGGGCACAGCTGACTTTGGAGGGGAAGGAGGAGGAGTGTTCAGGCTCCCGAGGAGAACCTGGATGGAAGCATCACCATCCTTCTGACAGCACGGTGCCTGTTCACGGCTGGTGCCAAAACTGTCCCCAGGCCATCCTGATCGGATGAGTACAGGCCCTAGAGGGCTAGCTGGACGCAGCGTCCAGTGTCCACAGAGCGCACTGCTAGTGGGCTATGACCTGGCCCCGGCAGTATTGGGACCGAAGTCCCTCGTGCACCCTTACTTCAGCACTGCAAAACCCAAAGAACTGCACAATATACACGGGGGAAGGACGTCACCGCTTTTAGGCTGAGGTCAAATCTAAGGAAGAAAAATTAAAATGGTTCATGGTGAGGTGAAAACCTCGGAGGGTCCCTCCTGGTGCTGCAGGGTTTGCCCACTCAAGGTGTTCAGTGATGCCGATGCTCACGCTGGGGCAAAGCCACGTAACTGGTGACAGGCTGTGCCCCCGAGACAGGCCCTCATGTGATGGCTGAGGGCTGGTGGTTCATTATATTTAACTCGGGTTAAGTTGAAGAGAGTTTATGGCCAGGCTCGTACTCATGTAGCAGAGCGCGGGAGCAGAAGGTCACATTCTTCTGCAGATGGTGGATCATATCTCCCTGCGCCACATTTCAGTGAGACCTGTGTAAACAGGTAATAGTTATTAGGAGCAGTGATATCACTTCTGCCTCCTTCAGATGCTGCTGAGAGCAAAGAAAGGGAGTAAGCCCTGCAATGAGAGGCACGATTTGAGAAACTGAAGCATTTTGAATGGATCTGATCAAAAGGGACCCTATAAACTTTTGCTCTCTTTGTTGCTCTGACAGCAGGACCGATGAGACATCTGGGAGTCACGCAACCTCTGCCTACCCCGCGATGGCCCCCGATGAGTCCTCGGTGCGAGTGCAGAAGAGATCACTGACAAAACCAAACGGTTTTTTACTAACTGAAGATGTGGCTGGGAGTTCAGCAGCGGCTTTGGGTCCCGGACCTGCCTCCCGTCCGGCAGCTTTGCGGGGCAGGGGCTGAGCCACCCCCCGCAGCATCGCGCCTGGGCCCTGGGGACCAGCAGGCTCTGTCTTTTTGAGCGCCGCGGGAGCCAAAACGCCGTCGGTGTTCCCTCGGCGGTACCAGGAGCTTCAGGCTCTTGGCGCAGGAGGAGGCAGACGGGGGGTGGGGGGCACAATCAGAGCATCTCTGGAAGCCCACCTCGGAAGGGGTAACCCTGCGCGGTGTTTCCTTGCCAAAGGAATCTGTCTTCTGAGCTACCGCGAAGCTACGGGGGGGCAAACAGAGGCGTGGGTGCTGCACGCACCAGCGCCTCGCAAAACGCTCGAAACACAATGCCTGCAGCTATATCGGGCGCGCCTGGGGCTGGAGGAGGTGTCTATTCTCACGGCTTACCTCTGGGACAATATGTGTTAAATCCCACTGACTCTCATCAGCTGAGGATAACTCATGCTTTTCCTAATTTACACAAATGAAATGATTTCAGATACTTTCAAGGGAGCCTTCCTCAGTACCCGCATAGCCTCAAGAAGGAGACTGTAATTAATTCCATTTTCACTCCCTTGTGAACCATAACTGCTTTGCACAATCCCTGACAAGCCTGAACGGGCTGTCAATGGCGCAAACCCGGGCTGTTGGCATTTGCCAAACCGGGGATTTCAGAGGAGGGCGGA